CTAATCTATTTCCTAATATATTTATATTAATCAAAATTTTACGTACATTGCCTGTATCCACTACAACACCTGAGCGGATGTTTTCATCCCTAAAAAGAATAAAAACATATTTAAGAAATACCATGTCTGAAGTAGGACTAAAAATCATTAACTTTTTATTCATTGTCATAAAACGATTGTCATTACATTTTCATAATAATCCTTATTTGTTATTAAACAGGATCGATTGAATGGATTAACTATGTTGGCTGTCCACAAAAACGTACACATTGACACAGAGGAGATAATAAACGAGTTAGCCAAAAAACCTAGGAAATTGGATTTTATTTTATAAATTATAAAATTTATGGAAATAAAATGTTTGTATTAATGTAACTGTGTATAGAATTATGTTTAAAAAAAAAAACCTGTTAGAGAGGTTTGGCCTCCACTTTACGTTTATCCAATTAATTAAATATCCCCCCTCCCCCCCAGAACCAAATCATAACTACGCCACTGACTTTATTTGAACCATTAAATCCGCCACTGGTTGCAATAGATTAATCTAAATAAATCAATTGATTTTATGTTCACATCTTGGTACATATTTTTTCGTGATAAAATTATGTTTATTCTACATCGATCGTACGTCGATTATTGGTTGATCGAACTTACGTCGAAATATTGGTTAGGATTTACGTAAATTGTACGTCTAGTTGAAATAGGTCAGTAAAAATTGTTGATATTGTAACGTCTCCTCTTCACCTGGGGCCGCATTCCTCGGTGTCGTTCTGTTTATATTAACGAGGTCTCGGAAACTCGACCTCGGTGTGTGATATTATTACTAGGGATCAGGGTTATCTTATGTAAAGCAAAGTACTCAACGTATATATATATGTTACGGTAAATGATGTAAAACATGAAAATTACGTAATTAACCGGTATTTATCGTAAATATATATATAAAATGGAGATTTTCGATATTCGCCGGTTATTTGCGATATTCACCAAACTAATTGGTAAATGTTATGTATGATACTAAAATTCGATTATAACAACTTTTATGTTTTTCTGCTGCACAGTTTTACATTAGATAGATTTTTAATATCTATAAATATGTTTATGAGCAAGATATCTGATACCTAAAGATTAAAGGTATAAGTAATCGTTAATGAAGTTCAGTTTTAGGACGAGGTATCGAATATTCTAGAACGTGCAATAACGATCGTAATGACCTGCGACAATTGCCGATAACGTTTTGACGGCCCATTACGTCTTTCTGACAATTACACAGATATCCGAGATCCGACAGTATTGTAGACAGTGTCATCTGGCATGTATGTTGTTTAGCGTTTTGTTTTTTCGTAGTTTTGTTTGTTCGTATTTATTACTCATAATTTTGTTTAAAAAAATAGTAATAAATATTTAATATTTAATTATGGATGAGAACGTTATGAAGAAAAAATTTGATGATTTTATATCTTCTATAATTACACAAAAACGTGATGACAACAAAGCGTTTTTAAGTTCATCCGAATACGACTGTCGTTTGGAGCAATTAAAATCATCAAAGTTGGCTTTAAATACAATTGGTATGAAGAAGACAATAAAAGATTATAGAATGGTACGTAAATTCGATATTTTAACTGCCAATGGAAAAGATAAACTCATCAAACCTGTAATTAATGATACCGTACTGTACTATGTGACAAACGATGAATTATTTGATATTCTTGACATTCCGCAATTGGCCATGGTGGAAGAAATCGAATGAGCGCTGAGCTTAAAATGAAATATTGTAATATTACAAATGAAACAATAATGGTGTATTTAAGTCTTTGCGTACACTGTCAAAAAAAAATCTTCAAATCCGAAAAGAGGACTGATATCAAAACCAATTTTACATAACGCTTTTAACTCTCGAGCACAGATCGATTTAATTGACATGCAATCACAGTGTATTAATAATTTCCGTTTCATAATGAACTATCAATATCACCTTACAAAATTTGTTGTGTTAAAACCTTTGACAAGCAAACGCGCGGAAGAAATTGCTCACAATCTACTCGATATTTACACAACATTTGGAGCTCCGGTTATATTTCATTCGG